GGGCAGACCCGGACCCGCCAAGGTCCCATCAGGGAGCAGGGAGGCTCTTGAGCCCAAGCCTAAATTTAGGAGGTGACTGAGGGACGTGGGGGTGATGGTGAGGGAATAGGATTGCAGTGGGGTCCCCACTGGGTTAGGGACTGGGTCGAAACTTCGGCAAGGTGGAAGATCTATAAATGAGGGCCTAGGGGGTCACCAAGTGGCACGGTGGTTAAGGCACTGGACCCCCAAATAGCGAATCAGGGTTCAAATCCTGGACCTCCCTTTTCCTTTCTCTCTCCCTCTGTCTCTCTGGTCAAATTACGATAATAATAACAAATGAAAGTAAATAAATAATTTTTTAAGAATTATTTTATTCCATTTATTATTATTATTATTTCACATGAGTTCACCAGAGAAACACAGAGAGAGAGAGAGAGAGGAAAAGTGAGAAAGCAAGCCTCCAGGTCTGGGACTCGAACCACTGTTGGTCATGTGAGAGTTCAGCACCTTAACCACCATGCCCTATACAGAAATAATTTTTTTAAAAAACTTAAAGAAATAAAAATAAATGAGGGTCTAGGAGAGAGAAAATGGGGGCGTGTCAGGACTGAGAGGGGAAGTGGGTGGAGAACTGATACCTAGGGTAACATGGGTCAGGGAGGCGGGCGCTGGGACTGGAGAAACTGTGGGCAAGTGTAGGGCCCCGGGGGCTGGGGACGGGCACTGGGAGAGGGGCGTAAGGACAAGGGGGGGTCTCCATGGGGGTCCCACGTGGGGCGGGCACAGGGCTCTGACTCAGCACTGGGACGGACTAGTGGACCAGTCCTCGGTGGGCTGACCGCTGACCGCCCCTCACTCTCCCCAGCGCTGCCGAGAACTGCGCAACTTCTCGTCCCTGCGCGCCATTCTGTCGGCGCTGCAGTCCAGCCCCATCTACCGGCTCAAGCGCAGCTGGGGGGCCGTGGGCCGGTGAGCCGGGATGGGAATGAGGGGCGCTGGGGCAGGAACCCAGCCAGGACCCTCCCAGCCGCTGAGCCCTGGGCCCTTTCCTGTCCCCTAGGGAGCCCTTGTCCACCTTCAGGAAGCTGTCGCAGATCTTTTCCGATGAGAACAACCATCTCAGCAGCAGGGAGATTCTCTCCCAGGTACACAGGGGACCCAGGGAGGGGACTTGGGGCAGGCAGAGGCCCGGCCTTCTCTTGTCCTTGGCCAGCTTTGGGTTTTTTATTTTTCTAAGAGGAGTGCACTTGTTAGAGAGACAAAGAGAGAGGGGAAGTGAGCAGGTATCCCCCAGGAGTGATGGCCACCCCCAACCCCCTTCTCCATTCTCATCTGGGACTCGAACTGCAAACTCAGCTATGTAGGATCCATTTGCCTTAACACCACGGGCATGCCCATATTTTGTTTTGTTCTAATTTTCCAAAAGATCTGTTTGCTGAGCAGAGAGAGACAGAGAGAAGGAGGGAAAAGGAAAGGGAGAAAGCCCTCCCACGATGGGATGTGGGTGCACCACAGTTGCGTCCCCTGTTTTTCCCTCCTCGAGGGATTTTGACCACTCAAACCACACAGCTGATCATATGAGATCCAGTTCCCTGGGACTTGAACTGCGGTCAGCCATGTGGGAATCCAGTGCCTTAACTACCACACCACCCGCCCATCCCCAATTTTTGTTTTTTTTTAATTTATTTGCCATAGGGTAGGTGCGCTCACTGGAGAGGAACAGAGAGAGACAGAGACAGGAGGTGAGAAATCACACACACACACACACACACACACACACACACACCCAGGGAGGATGGCCACCCTGTAATCCCTTCTCCTCCATCCTCCTGGGATTCTGGGCACGCACGCACACGCACCTGGTGTGAGTCTCAAGTCACCGAGTCCGGGACTTGAACTGCAGTCGGCCAGGTGGGATCCAGCAGTTCAGCCAGCATGCCACCTGCTGGCTCCAAGCCGTATGTCTGCACTGCCTCTCCTCCCTCCATTCCAGCACACTCTCTGCCGTATTTATTCATTCAACAAAAAACAAAGTCACAAGGAAAAGGTTACTTAATTAACAGCCAGAGTTACAGGAAAGGGTGAAAAAAATTGCACTGCGATTTTGCCTGGATTAGCAAAACTAAAACTGTGTGCTAGTAAGTCTGGCTTACAGTCTAGAGGGTCTACTTGCAGTCAGGGGAAGGTTTTTCTTCTTTGGTTATCGGACATGTACGCTGGCCAGAGAGAGACAGAGAGAAAGAGAGAAACAGAGAGAAGGAACGTGAGGAAGCACCTGCGAGGGCATGGCCGGGCTGCAGCCCATTCTTCCCTATTCTCATCTTGGAATTGAAAACAACTATTTATTGGGACCAGCAGTTAGTGTAATGGCTATGTCACTGGACTCCCACATAGTCGACTGCGGTTCGAGTCCCAGACCCGGTGGCTTAAACTCACGCCGGGCGCGTGTGCGTGCGTGCCCAAGATCCCGAGAGGAGAATGGAGGAGAAGGAATTGTGGCGTGGCCGTCCCCCCTGGGGGGTGATTTCTCGCTTTCTGTCTCTCTGTCTCTCTCTGTCTTCCTGGCGAGTGCACGTACCCTATAGCAAAAACCTCTCCAAAAAAAGAAAAAAGTATATTTCTTTTTTTCTTACTATTATTTAGGAATTCTTTTATTGAACTTTATTTACTTATTTTCTTTATTTATTTTCATTTGACCAGAGAGGGACAGACTAAGTGAGGGGGGGGGGTAGTGAGAAAGCAAGCCGCCCAGTCTGGGACTCGAACCACTGTTGGTCATGTGGGAGTCCAGCGTCCTTAAACACCATGCCACCTGCTGACCCCTTAATATTATTATTATTATTTAAATAATTATTTAATTTTCTTTATTTTTAATGTGACAAGAGAGAGAAAGTGAGAAAGCAAGCCACCAGATCCAGGACTCGAACCATGGTCGGCCAAGTGAGAGTGTCCAGCACCTTAACCATCATGCCACCAGCTGGTCCCCCCTTATTATTTTTGTAAAGTTTGTTATAGGGCACACGTGCTCACTAGGGAGAGACAGTTAGAAAGCAAGCTACCAGGTCCAGGACTCGAACTATGATTGGTCATGTGGGAGTCCAGCACCTCAACCACCATGCCACCTGCTGGCCCCTCCTCTTGGAATTTTCAGCGCACATGTTCACATGCCTGGCGAAATAGTCAGGTCACCAGGTCTAGGACTCAAACTGCACATCTAGCCTTGTGGGATCCAGTACCTTAGCCTCCACGTCACAGGCTGGCCCCAGGTGCGGGCTCTCAATGTGAATTTATTGAAAAGAATTAGTTTATTTAACTTGATTTATTTGTTTTTATTTGACCAGAGAGCGTCAGAGGGTTGGGGGTGGGGGTGGCGTACTGAGAAAGCAAGCCGCCAGGTCTGGGAATGGAACCCTGGTCAGCGCTGTGGGAAGTCCAGTGCCCTTAACCACCACGCCACCTGCCGGCCTCCTCAGTGGGAATTTAGAATAAGTGGATTGTGGAGCCTGTGTCCTGAGACTGGAATGTTCTTCCCCACTGAAGATAGGAAAGCAGCTTGCTAACTCCCCGCCTGAGGTCTCTGTCTAAGGGGCCCCGCCTTGGAGAGGCCGCCCTGAGCCCCCCATCCTCTTCACGCTCCCCACCTGTCCTGCGGCCCTTATCTCTGCCTGTCATGTCCTCCGTGGCTGGGTGGTAGCAGCAGCCCCCTCACTGTGGCCCCTGCACGAGGCCAGAGTTTCTCTCCCTTCCTTCCTTCCTTCCTTCCTTCGTTTTTTCTTCCTTTCTTTTTTCTTCCTTCCTTTTTTTCTTTCTTTCTTTCTTTTTCTCTTTCTTTCTTTCTTTCTCTTTCTTTCTTTCTTTCTTCTTTCTTTCTTTCTTTCTTTCTTTCTTTCTTTCTTTCTTTCTTTCTTCTCCTCCTTCTTCTTCTTTTTTATTTTTATTTTTTTTTGCTAAAGGGAACAGGCATTTGCCAGAAAGAGAGGAGAAAGCACCCCATGTAGGGAATGGTCATGCCCCAGGCCTTCCCTTAATCCTTTGGGGGTTTGGGGCACAGATGCCCATGTGTCTGGTGTATTTTGTTTTTCTTTTCTTTTTTTCTTTCTTTTTTTATTTTTATTTTTGTCATAGGGTGCATGTGCTTGCTGGAGAAAGCGAGAGAGACAAGACATGGTGAGAGGGAAAGTGAGAAATCACCTCCCAAGGGGGACGGCCACGCCGCAATCCCTTCCCCTCCATTCTCTTCTTGGGATCTTGGGCACGCACGCACATGGGGCCAGTGTGATTTTCAAGGCACCGGGTCTGCAACTTGAACCAGGGTCAGCCGTGTGGGAGTCCTGGCACCGGGTCTGGAACTTGAACCAGGGTCAGCCGTGTGGGAGTCCAGTGATGTAACCTCAATGCCATCTGCTGATCCCAATAAATAATTATTTAAAGAAACAAAATGATTAGGGAGAGCAATGCCTGAAGGCAAATGCAGGGTGTTCCCTGGGCATCTCTGGTGGGTTCTCTTCTAAGTCAAAGCTTCTCTGAAGTGTGGTGGCCACAGCACCCCCAAGCTCCACCTCCCCTCATCCCCTGCAGGGTGGTCTGGCTCCTTGGGTTGGGCCTGTCCTACTGGCTGGCGTGCATGGTGGGCAACGTGGCATCTTCCCTGGGGAAGGGAGGAAGGAGACCCCACCTCTGTTCATGTCTTCCCATACCCCCAGGAGGAAGCCACCGAGGGACCCCAAGAGGGAGTCAGCCCCCCAGGAAGCCTGCCCCCAGTGAGTGACGCTGTTGGGGATGGGGGATAAGTGGGGCCCTCGGAGGTCATGAGGGATGAGAAAGGGGATCAGCAATGGCCGAGAGTGACTGCAACTTCGGGGGTTCCAGACCTCACCCCCAGGCCCCATCCCGTATCTGGGCACCTTCCTCACTGACCTGATTATGTTGGACACAGCCCTGCCGGACACAGTGGAGGTTTGACCCTTGACCTTTGACTCTGCTCCATCTCCACTTGTCCCCTCCCCCACTATCCCAATGATTTCCTTTTATTCTGTGGAATCTATGACCCTACACATTGGCCCTGGTGATGACCTGACCCCAATCTGACCTTGAACTTTCACCTTACTCCTGTCTGACCTTGAACTTTTACCTTGACCCAATTTGACTTCTTATTTCCACTCGTGATCCAGCCTGCACTCCTGACCTCAGGCCCCTTAGCACGGAGGGGCTCCCAACTGCCCTGCCCTGCCCTTGACCCTGAGACTTGACATCAGAGCCTCTTGTTCAGACAAACTTTGCCCCCAGGGGGATCTCATCAACTTTGAGAAGAGGAGAAAGGTGAGTGGGCACTGGGCTGGGTGCGGGGTTAGGAAGAGGTGGCCTGAGGGTGGGGTAGGGCAGGCCGGTGTCTCAGCAGCCGCACCCCCAGGAATGGGAGATCCTAGCCCGGATTCAGCAGCTACAGAGGCGCTGTCGGAGTTACTGCCTGAGCCCCCACCCACCCGTCCTGGCTGCCCTGCGTGCTCAGCGCCAGCTCAGTGAGGAGCAGAGGTGACTACCTCCCCCCGAGCCAGCCCCGTGGCCTGGCCTGGCCCACCCCAGCTAACTCTGGATCTCACAATGGCCCCCACTCACCCCATACATCTCTCTGGCTCCTCCCAGACCCCTCCTGAGCCCTATTCCCAAACTGTGACCTTGCACTGTCTCCAACCCCGTGGAGGGCTTCAGTCCATCTCAGGCCTCAAACCTCCTCTTGTCTGTCTTTCTGACTGCAACCTTTAATGTTCAGTGGGCCTTTGGCTCAACTGACTCATCTAGTCTCCTGCCCAACTTCTAATCTTCTTTGACCCATGGCCCTGACCCTGATCATTGACTCTGTGGCTCTGAATAACCAACTCCAACTCAGACGTTGTTTTTTACCACCCAGCTCAACTATCCCCATGGTTTTCTTTCATCCTATCAAGTCCGTAACTCTAAGCCTTGACCCCAGTGGTTGCTTGCTCTCAACCTGAGCTTGAACTTTAACCTTGAGCCCGCTGGACTCCTTACTTCCACTCTGTGAATCTCTGTGTGACCTGCCGACCAAGCCATCCCACGTCATCCCTCACCCTGATGCCACATTGAGCTCATTTCTACTCTGACTGTGACAGGGTTCCCAAGCCCTGGCTGCTCCCCACTTAGATCCAGAACCCCATTCCAAGCCATCCTTACTCTTATCTTGTCACCCCCCGTTGCACCCCACCTCCCACCCACACACTGACCCCTCAGCTACCGCATGTCCCGTGTCATCGAGCCGCCAGCCGCCTCCTGCCCCAGCTCCCCACGCATCCGGCGGCGCATCAGCCTCACCAAGCGCCTCAGTGCGTGAGTCTCAGGGTGATGTGGGCCAATATGGGAGGTGAGGCTGCTCCTCGGGCAGAGTCTGGTCTCAGCCTCATCCCCTGTCCCCGTCCTCAGGAAGTTGTCCCGAGAGAAAAGCTCATCCCCTGGTGGGAGTCCTGGGGACCCCTCCTCACCCACCTCCAGGTGAGCATGCCACTTGATGAAGGGACCAGAGAAAGCAGGGACAGGAATTGGGACAGCCACCCCACCTTGGGCTCCGTCTCTCCCCCAGTCTATCCCTGGGATCTCCCCCACCCAGTCCTCGAGCCAAGGACCCTCCTCCTGGAAGTCCCCCAGCCTCTCCAGGGCCCCAGGGCCCCAACACCAAGGTATCAAGACCACCTGTGTGTGTAGATGGGCGTGTCAGCACCTAGGGGAGCGTGTGTGTGCACACAGGTCGGATGTGTTCTGAGGTCAGGGAGCCTGGGGTGGGATCACACCCTGTTTCCAGGACATGGCTGTCTGTAGGCATCTGGATACCCAAAGAAGAGATGTGGGTTTGAATATCCATGGGACTGTGTGCGAGCTTGTTCACTGATGTGGGCAGTGGGCGTCCAACAGCCCAGAGTGTATGAGGATACTTCACAAAGTTCAAGGAGGGGCCAGCAGGTGGCATGGTGGTTAAGGCACTGGATTCTCATGTGGTCGACCTCCGTTCAAGTCCCAGACCTGGCAGCTTCTTTCCCACTTTCTCTTTCTCTCTCTCTCTCTGTCTCTCTCTCTCTCTCTGTCTCTTTTTGGTGAGCACACATGCCCTATAGCAAAAAAAAAATTTTCTTTTTTTCTTGGAGAGGTTTTTGCTATAGGGCATGTGCACTTGCCAGAAAGACAGAGAGAAACAGAGAGACAGAAAGCAAGAAATCACCCCCCCAGGGGGGATGGCCACACCACAATCCCTTCTCCTCCATTCTCTTCTTGGGATCTTGCACCCGGTGTGAGTTTAGGCTACCAGGTCCGGGACTCGAACCATGGTCGACTACATGGGAGTCCAGCGACATAGCCATTAAACTGTTGGTCCCTATATCAAAAAAAAAAAAATTTATTCATTCACTTTATTACTATTTTTAATTTGAACAGAGAGAGACACAGAAATGTGAGTTTAGGCTACCAGGTCCGGGACTCGAACCATGGTCGACTACATGGGAGTCCAGCGACATAGCCATTAAACTGTTGGTCCCTATATCAAAAAAAAAAAAATTTATTCATTCACTTTATTACTATTTTTAATTTGAACAGAGAGAGACACAGAAAGAGAGAGAGAGAAAGTGAAAAAGCAACCCACCAGATGGACTCCAACCATGGTCAGCCATGTGGGAGTGCCCAGCACCTTAACCACCACGCCATCTGCTGGTCCCACCCTATAGCAAAATTAAATAATAATAATAATAGGGATGGGACCAGGAGTTAGCATAATGGCTATGTCGCTGGACTCCCATGTAGTCGACTGCAGTTCGGGTCCTGGACCCGGTGGCTTAAACTCATGCCGGGCGTGTGTGCGTGCGTGCTCAAGATCCCAAGAGGAGAATGGAGGAGAAGGGATTGTGGTGTGGCCATCCCCCTGGGGGATGATTTCTCGCTTTCTATCTTTCTGTCTCTCTCTGTCTGTCTGGCGAGTGCACGTGCCCTATAGCAAAAACCTCTCCAAAAAAAAAAAAAACACAGCGGAGGTCCCCGCACGATGACAAGCATATACGTGGGCCTGCGTGTCAGCCTAATTGCGTGTCCCAGGCTCTGGGTGTGTAAAGGCACGTGGAGTTGCGTGTCCTGGGATCAGAAACACGGGCCTATTGAACCCCCAGGGAGGGAGCGGCCCCGTGCTTGGACCCGAGCATGAGCAAGGCTGCAGCCTCCACCCTTGCTGCCTACAGCTGCCCCTGAGTCCGGATCCGCCAGGCTCCCAGTCCCCAGCCTCACCTCCGAGCAGCTCTCACATCCTGGTCCCCGGCCAGCAGAGCTCCGAGGCCCGCATCATCCGTGTCAGCATTGACAACGACCACGGGAACCTGTACCGGAGCATCCTGGTGAGGGACTGGGCTGGGGGGTCGGGGGGAGGAGGGGAGCAGCCCTGCTCTCGGCCCAGCCCTCACACGCCCCCTCCTGCCACTCTGTTCCAGCTCACCAGCCAGGACAAAGCTCCCGGCGTGGTGCTACGAGCCTTGCAGAAACACAACGTGGCCCAGTCCTGGGTCCGGGACTACCAGCTCTTCCAAGTCCTTCCTGGGGACAGGGGTGAGCAGGGCCGCGTGGCATCAAGCTGGGGAGCCTCTGGACAGCAGGCCGGCTGACTGGGCCTTTCCTGGGCCCTGGGGTTGTGAGGTAGTTTGGGTGTGGAGGAGGGGAGCTGCAGGAATGTCTATGCCCCAGTCACATGAGGTTGTCCTGGCTGGGAAAGAGGGGGAGTGGCATCAGAGGTCCTCTTACCAGGGTTTATGAAGCAATGAGACGGCCCGGGGTCAAATGGGAGAAGGTATGTAGGGCCCAAGGCTGTCTGTTCTTGGGCCCAGCAGATGGCATAATGGTTATGTTGCTGGACTCCCACGTGGTCGACCACGGTTTGAGTCCTGGACCTGGAGGCTTAAACTCACGCCGGGTGTTGTGCATGTGTGCCTAAAATCCCAAGAGGAGAATGGAAAAGAGGGGATGGTGGCGTGGCCATGCCCACCGGGGATAATTTCTCACTTTCTATCTCTCCAGCAGGTGCACACACCCTGTAGCGAAAAAACTCTCTTAAAAACAAACGAAAAGCCTCCTGCCAGGCACGTGTGCATGCATGCCCAAAATCCTGAAAGGAGGTGGGAGGAGAGGGCATTGTGGTGTGGCCATCCACCCCTGCTTTCTGTCTCTCTGGTGAGCGCATGCTCCCTGTGGCAAAAATAAGGTTGTCTGCTCTTAAGTTTGTAGGATCATGAGGTTGTTCGGGCTCAGCTGAGGCAGAGGGAGAGGTGCTGACAGGGGTCTGATCTTGGATTTGTGAGAACATGAGTGCATCCGGGCTCCCCAAGAAGACCCCAAATTTATCTCAACGTGGGATTGGGAGAGCATCAGATGAACTGAACTTGGGGTAGGGGAGTACAAGGTTGTCCAGTCTTTGAGAGGAAGAGGCAGGAGGCTGGTTGTGTTTATGCCGAAGGGCACAGCACGGGGCTAGCTGGAATTAGGAACGGGTAAGAACACGAGATTGTTGAGGTGTTGATGATGAAGGCCATGAGGTTGTACAGGCTGAAAGTCAGAGGTTGTCCAAGCTCATGGTCAGAGCAGCATGAGTTTGGCTAGGAAGGAAGTAATCAGAGGAGTGGGGTAGGCTAGGCAGGAAGTCATTTAGGGTGGACAAGCTCGAATTAGCCCAGAGTCTTAGTGTAGGTTGTCTAGACACCAGGAGGACACTAAGAGGTTGTCCTGGTTCATGGTGGGGGAAATTATGAAGTTATGCACTTCTCTCTCTCTCTCTCTCTCTCTCTTTTTTTTTAGGTTTTTGTGATAGGGCACATGCACTTTCCAGAGAGAGAGAAAGAGAGATGGTGAAAGGGAAAGTGAGAAATCACCCCTTAGGCCGGATGGCCATGCCATCATCCCTTCTTTTGGGCATCTGTGCACATGTGCCCAGCATGATTTTCAAGCTGCCAGGTCTGGGATTCGAATTATGATTGGCCGTGTGGGAGTCTAGCTCCTTAACTACTACGCCACCTGCTGGCCCCAGCTTATGCACTTGGAATGAGAGGTTGTCCAGGTTGCCAGTGAGAGGAGAATGAGGTTGGCTCGGCATCAGTTAGAGACCCAAGGCTGTTGGTTCCCCCAGAGGGAATGGTTGAAGGTTGCTCAGGTCTTGCCTGGGGAGGGAGTGAGGTCACGTAGGCGTCTCACCGTCATCTCCACCCCGCCCAGAGCTCCTGATTCCAGACAACGCCAATGTCTTCTATGCAATGAGTCCAGTCGCCCCCGGGGACTTCGTCCTTCGCAGGAAGGCGGCGGCCCAGCACACGCCCGCACTGTCTCCAACATGAGGTGGCCCCCTTCTCCCTCCAGGACAGAGGCTTCATGGGCAGCCAGGATATCTCCCACCCCAAGAAAGGCTGCAGCGTTCTGTATCCCATGCCTGCCCTGACCCCGGCTTTAGCCCACCGGAGCCCATCTCTCCAACCTTGGCACTGAACCTCCATTCCAAAGACTTCAGCTGCCAGGGTAACTGGTAGAAAGCTCCATCTCATAACACAGAAGGTGGGGCATAGAGGGGGGTCAGACCTCTCCCCGGAAAACCCTCGGAGCTGTTGGCAATGCATCAGAACCGAGAGCTGTGGATGAAATGGTGGCAAAGGTTCAACTAGGAGCCACTCGTGTTGATTTCACGCCTGTGCGTCATATTCGTTCTTTATTCACTTTTAAAAATGTGCCTTCCAGCAGTTGCTGTAATGGCTATGTTGCTGGACTCCCATGTAGTCGACCATGGTTCGTGTCCCGGACCCGGTGGCTTAAACTCACGCCGGGTGCGTGTGTGTGCGTGCCCAAGATCCCGAGAGGAGAATGGAGGAGAAGGGATTGCGGCGTGGCCATCCCCCCAGGGGAGAGATTTCTCACTTTCTGTCTCTCTGTCTGTCTGTGTCTGGCGAGCGCAAGCGCCCTATAGCAAAAACCTCTCCAAAAAAAAGTAATAAATAAATGAAATATTTTAAAAAGTAATATAAGATACCAGAAGGTTAAAAAACGTAATTAGTAATATATTTTTCCCCCAAATTATAAATGAAATCCACACCCTGAAATAGGTGTCCTTTTACAAAGAAGAGACCTCCCTGCCCATGCTGTGGGGCACGGGCCCGGTCCTGGGCAAGCGCTCCACTGCAGGTCGTTTGGTTATTTACTCCTAGACTGGGAAGCCCTGCTGGTCCGCCAGATTAACATCAGCGGCTCACAGTTGGGGAATGCTTGCTCTGAGCCAGGTTAGATTTTAGAGATGAAAAAGGCTGAGGCGCAGATAAGGCAAGCCACCTGCCCAGGGTTATAGCAAACAAGGGTGCCTGACGCGGGCACCGCCGCTGCCCCCGCCCCCCCAGGCTGCTGGGCGGTGGAGGGCCCCTGTCCCCTCCCGCCCGCGCTTATCTCGGCCCCAGGCTGCGCTCGGCCCCGCCCCCCGGGAGCTGCCACTTGGAGGCGCCTGGGCGGGAAGCG